GACAGGAGTTATGAAATTCCGGTCAGACTCACACACCGACACACACAAACACACCGACACACCAACAGACACACTTAGCGAATTATAAAAAGTAGGATGCTTACTAATTGTTCTCAACCACCCACTTGTGCATTAGTTAGCCGCTGAGCAAAAAAAATTTCGAGCTGATTGAGATACTCTTTCCTTAGCAAGTGGTGTTAGCATAAGACTGTTTCTTGAAGGCAAGTTGTGAAGGAAAAGCAATGCCTTATTGGAAACTGGCTTTATTGGAGCAGGAGGTCTGTCCACATTAATCAGGAGCTCCCGAACATACTGTGCTTTCTAAAGCCTGTTAGGTGAAACCGACCATCGCAAACTTTGTTATTAAGTCGTATTAGTTTTCAATTAGCTCAAAGGCACAGTTCACGATAATTTTGGGTAATCAAGATTATGACGAAAAATTGAAGATAAGATGGAAAATAGTCGGATGAAGGTGAAGAAACTGCGTAAATCGTTGTTGTTAAAGTGTAAAAGAAGCTTCAAAAAACCATTGAATAGGGGGCTGGACTAGAATGAAACCAGAAAAATGAAGAAGAATGGAGCGTTTGGATGAAGTGAAGAAGAACGGGCTATACAATGTGTGTCATTGCGCACGTGTGGGTCCTGGTGCGAATAGCTGACTATGGTAACAGAAATTCATCCAATTATAATCATAAGTTAACAAAAAATCCCCAGTAACAGCAAAAGTAATCACCCTTTTTAGCCTCTTGAGGTAGAAAATTTGAATAAGGATAGCAGCAGCAAAAATAATAACATAGAATAAAAGAGTGGGAGAAAAACATCGCCTCATCACTCGGGGAACAGCTGATCGTTTGTAGGTCCTAGGACGAATACTCCTATTTATATCGACTCGACACTTGTCTGACGTGACATCGATCGAGGGGCGGGAAGTCCAGGCGATCCGTTAACGGGGCTCCCACTGTGCCTTAGCTGTTGAGTTTCGGGACTCAACAGCGTCCTTTATGTTACCTCTAGAGGCCAGTGGGTATTCATAGGGGAAGAACTCAGAAACCATTTTTATCGTGAACTGTGCCTTTAAGGGCGAGAACAAAGTGCTATTTACATGAAAAAATGAGAAGGGAGACGCAAACTTTGTGTTGGTGCTGACAAAAAGCACTGCAACATTCGACAGTTTGATTTTTGTCTTCGAGTTTCGAAAAATGCTACAAGGTTCAGATTAGTCTTACCATTTATGTCGCTATCAAACACTTCACATAATCTTGAGCTCTCCGTAGAAGGCTCAAGCTTGACATCGGTTCCTGATTGATTTTTCCTGGAAGTTTGTGTCGTGTTGGCTGGTAACCATGTATTATTTGTGACATTTTTATTACATGTTTTAAGGCTCTGCCGTATTTCCAAAAACTCCCCTGATAACTGTCGAAGGTCCTCTTGCGGTCTGTCAACTACTGGAGACAACATTTCTAAACCTGGTCAACTACGCATCTTTAATGGCAACAAATGCCTCCAGGTTCAGGCAGGTACCATAAGCCTATACATTCACGGTAAAGCCTCTGTGCTGATCTGGTTCGTAATAGGCTTTTGAATGCAGGCTGCTGGCAATAAAGTGCAGATGCTTGAGTTTGGATTGCGTCGAGCTCAAGGGCCTAATGGAGGCCTTACTGCCAGCAAGTATTCTTATATCGGAGGTATACCACTAAAATAATGGAAAATGGAATGAAATGAATGGAAGGACTCATGCTTATACCTTAACAAGTGATTTGCAGGATTCGATGGAACTAGCAATGTTCTCGCTGGGAAGCTTTTTGGAATCCCAGTGAAGGGCACCCAAGCTCATAGCTTTGTCTGCTCGTTTTCATCTGATAAGGATTTGAAAGTGAGAACTCTCCGAGATAAGCACGGATCCGAGGAACGTGATTTGTATGAGTTGAGCTTGAGCAAAAGACATTTTATAATGCAGAAGGTGATTTTGCTTTTTTTCGGCATGTCAGGATTTGAAAGTTACCCTTGTTTGATGCTTTTGGCGGTGAATCTCTTTATCTGATCTCTTACAGGTGGAATGGGGCGTCTCCGAATCGGAGGTGAGCAATGGCGAGTTGGCTGCGTTCGTTGCTTATGCGGTTGCGTTTCCCAGTGCGAACATGTCTTTGATTGATACCTATGATGTTCTCAGGTTGGTGATTTTTTACCACCGTCCTTCCTCGCTTGAATGGCTAACCTCTTGGCTGTCCAAGGCGCTCGCGATCCCTATAACTTTTTTTTTCGATTAAATAATTTCACCCGTGCATAACGGTAACCTCATACATAATATTTCTGGATTAGCCTCATATAGCAGAGCAATTGATCCCCAAGCCTGCCGCTATCTGAAGATCGGTAGTCCTTAGTGGCTTTTGTCAAACAAGGCGAACATGTATACTAATAAATCTCTTTGGCTTACTAAATTCCCAAACAGAGCCCATCAAGTTAACACGGGAAAAACCAACCGAAATTTGGCATCCTTTCTTAAACGTTCAAGTGAGGCTACAAGGTGATATGATTGTTACAAAGTGCTACAGAAACCAGCAATAAGANNNTCAGCTCATCCTTTCTACGTAAAACGAGCGCTCGTTAGAAATATGTCCCGCACCGCTAGGAAGGTCTGCGCTTTGGAGAAAGAGCGAAAAGAGTCGCTTAAAATGGCACGCGATATAGCTTGATCGAATGGCTTCCACAATTTTCCAACTGCACGTAGAGCTCCTTCTGATGGTGTGATCCTCAGACATGGTTGTACCTCGATTGAAGGCAAGACTCCTTTTGTACTATCATTTATTTCTGATGATGTCAGCGCCTCCATTAGAAAGTGTCTAAAGAGATCTGGTTTGGAAAATTTAGGAGCTATTGTAAACGTACCACCCTTCAATCTAAAGAAGCGCCTGATTCGTAACAGGCTATACGATCGCCTATATACAACCTCAAACAGTGTGGTTTGCCCAGCTGGAAGGGAAGGTAATTGTAACATGTCTGGAGTGGTCTAAAGAATTACTTGCCGGGATTGTGGTGATGAGTATATTGGAGAAACGGCAAGACCACTTCACGTGAGGGACATGGAGTACATAGACGGCATGAGACGATTGAAAGTCTACTGCCATAGGGAGTCACCGAGTTCAGAAGCATAACGGAGGCGATTTTGAGGTCAGCGTGGAGGTCGTAGCACAAGAGTCGCAATTGTGCACGCGTAGTGCGCGCATAAAACTGTCAAAATATTTTGGATACAAGTCACCAGTCCCACAATGAATCGTAGAGAAGAGCAATCACGCGTAAGCTACGGCCTTATATAAGGTTGGCCTTCCAGCAGAGATACCATCACTCGCTGGGTGGCTTCGAAGAATCCACAAGGCTACGGTGAGTGGTTCTCTTTTCGATCACCTGCGTGCCCTGGGGGTCTCGAGCTTCAGTGAGTTAGTGGTGACGTTTGAACGGACAGTCACAGATTGTTATGAGCCTTTCAGCCTTCGAAGAAGATTCCGCCGAAACGTCAGCATAAAGCATACGACAAACCTCGTAAAGAATTCAAGAAAACAAAAACTCAGAGATACTTTTCATAGTACCGGCATGCCCATTATTTCCATCTGCAACAATAATAACTTCCTGTAATGGCGCTTTCAGCGTCTTATCATCAAGCGACTTCTGAAACTTCCCTCTTGTTTGCTCATGGCTACAAGTTGGTGGAGCGCAGAAAGAGAAAATGTGAGAGGAGTGGCATTTGAAAACGGCTACAATCTTCACGAAGCGGCCACCGAGGCGTCCACGATCAAGTCCCGAGAACATTTACATTTGTCGTGTCACATTGACCTAATTTTTTTCCGACAACTTCAGGATACTCATGAAAAGTGGGAGGAGCGCGTTGAGGTCTAGAGAGGTGACATTAAAGTACAAAATGTATTTTAATTTTCTACGCTATATCATAGTAAGGGTTGATGTGTTGTAGTGTCAAGTGGCGCACTATCTCACACGCATGGTCAAAGGTTCGAACTCCGCGTCGATATTCTCCTAGACCGAACAAGCCTTCCATCCCTCCGGGGTCGGTGAATTGGTACCAGACTCGTCTGGGAGGATAAAANGACTTGTACATCGGCTGGCCACCGCAAGTCATTGTATAGGCCACAGACGATCTCATACGCCACTACTCGTACGATTCTGAATTGAAGACGAGTGCGGGGGCGCATTCCTTGGACGAGATTGATCAACGCCAAAAGCTTTGTCCTTTATATCATAGTAAATGCTTAATTGGTAAAAGTCCCTTTACCTCTTGATTTTATGTTCCCGGCTGTGAAACGGCTCTGAAACGTAGGGTGATAAGGTTCATATGAACTAAGTCATGTAGATTTTGAGTAATAATAATCACCAGAAATTTAAATGGCGTTAAGAGTCTGTCGCAAGTCGAAAAACAGAAAACCATTGTAATTGTACTGTACCTATGATCTTATGATTCTGTAGTTCATCTCATTTTATATTCAGAAGTGGTGTTATCAACTTCGTGGCTGTGACATTGGCTCTTTTCGAACTTGGATACAAGTCCATTGGTTGTCGAATAGACAGCGGTGACTTGTCATATCTTTCAAAGGAAGTCCGGAGCCGGCTACGCAAAGTAGCTGTATTGTAGGTTTTTTTTCATTTCTCAATTCACTTTTGCAATGCAAGGGGCGCCAAAAATGTCTTGCTTCGAGGTTATACTTCCGGGTTAGCTACAGCTATGAGGCAAAACGTTATCAAGCAAACTGTATTAGGTTCAAAAAAATGCTGACCTCGCAGTATACCAGAAACGATGCATCGAAGAAAATTCAATTTTTACAGAATCTGTGTGTGTGGTTCAGTGGTTATAATGACTCCGATGTTAACGGTGTAAAAATACAGCAAGTAAAGGGTAGGTGCCGATATTACCGCTATGAAAGCGTAGAGTAGTAATAACAAGTATTCGTCTAAGATGGCACAGAACCTACGTGTTGGCCTTGTCGTCGACTGCGGACCACGCTTTTTGGTAGTCCCCCAGCTTGACACCCGTTTCATAATGGACGTCCCTATTCCCTCAGAACGTCTCTCAACAGTTAGAACGACGAGGGGTTGGGATCGTCGACCCAGACGACTATAGAATCGCCCTCTGGATGTTAGAAGCCCTCATGTACTTATATTCGGTCTCGACAAGGGTTCTTGTATGAAGATGGTAAGATAGAGATGCAGTGATTCAATTTCCAAGGGTGGGCGAGAGAGATTCAGCTGAAAGCCGTCTGATTGTGACAATGACGTAGAAAGCAAGGTAGAAACAAACAAATGAAAATGAGTTTGTCATTATAAGAATGACAGAGTGAATTGTGATATTCATATAAGATGGAATCGATAGTGTCAGTGCTACTCAAAGTTAAAAATTGCTTGCTTCGGTCTCATCTATGTATGTATGTGTTCGAAATTGCTGGGGAGAAATTCCAGTCCAGTACACAGCTTGATCTATAAGAAACAGGGGTTCCAGTGAAGCTAAAATTCTGTAAAGGTTTGATACATCTTCCCACTTGTTATTAGAACATATCTGTGTATCTTATGCTACTTTTTTCGGGATTCCTCTACATATGATGTAAGATGGANTGTATCTTATGCTACTTTTTTCGGGATTCCTCCACATATGATGTAAGATGGAGAATAACAAAGGCGTTGGCTTTATGTTACCGTCCCTGTTGATACGATATGAGATGCTTGTGATTTGCTTTGCGCAATGCGTACACAGGGCTAGGCAAAATTGCGGAAATAAGCGGAGGCGCAGAAATTTTGTCCCCTGACTGACGGTATGCCCTTGTGAAGAGCTCGTTCCTCTTTCTACTCTATTCACTACAAGGTTCTCTACTATATACCACGGAAATCTTGATCTCTACTTGGAATCACCCAGGCGTCTCACAGGAATTCAATCATCAACCAGCATCGTTGGGGATACGCGATCGCCCGCATTTGAAGCCGACACGGTCGGTCAGAAAGATGTCACAGGGATAGGGTCGGCCTCTAAATCGACGGTATTTTCGGGGTCTAGGCATTAGAAATTTGCTATCTCGATCCGGGCGCGGGAGCCATAGCTGGATATCCTTTTGAAAGGAACTCACACTTTGGCAATATGCTCTTCGATTCTGTAATGGTGATGATGACGTCGTCCAGTTATGCAGCGCAAACCTTAAGACTCAGATTATGGAATTAAGGACCTAGTGAGATATTTTAAACCAATCGCGAGTCTCAAGCAATGAGGCAACCTCCCTGTCTGAACGTGCTGACGATTTGTTACAAAAAGCTAGGTGAATGTAGCGAGTACTTCCTCTGAGTGTTGGTAACTAGTAACTCCTTTGCCTCGACCTTAGTTTCAATCTGTAGACCTCTGCAAAGTCGATTTGCATGAAGGTTGCGCCGTCGTTTAGCTTCCTGGAGATGCCTCCTAGAGTAGTCAGCGGGTGCTGGCAGTGCGTCGATCAGTCTAAAGGAATAATAAGCTCGTAGGCGTATAGTTCCGTTTGATATCTCTACGACGACAGTGGATGCTGCACCATTCTCCTAGTGTAAGGTCGATTTATTCTTCCAAATCTCTTGATGAAGTCGCGCCGGGTGCCTTTCATTACGATAGGTTGAGCATCAGTTTCAACGAAAGCGTCTTTCGGCTCTTGGGCACCGTCCGAGTTGTGTTGAAAACGTTAAAGTAGTTGGCCTTCGGCTTGGATAAGATCTTTTCTCGGCAGTGGCAGAATCAGCAAGGGTAGTCGCTTAGTAGTGCACTTTTGTATTGATACAACCAGTTTCGGAATTTTCTGCATCAACTCCTAGCCCAAAAACGTCAAGGTTTCATGAATTTTTTCCACATTCAGCCACTATCCGAGACTTCAACACTCTGTTCCTTGGTTTTTTTTAGAGATCCAGCTCTTGTCTGGCTCGAGAAGATGGTCATTGTTGCTTCGAACGACATTAACGAGGAGACGATCATGTCATTAAATGAGCAGTCGGTAGGAGTTGACTGCTATCATTTCTACCGAAATGCTCACAATCGCGGCTTTTCAGCATGAAATCAATGCATTTGGTGTTGGAACTCATCTAGTCACTTGCCAGAAACAGCCAGCACTTGGATGTGTTTATAAAGTAAGTTATATATCACATGCTTTAGACGTTTTCTTCGAAAGGATGTATTGGTCTTATTTTATAAGCAGTTTCACTTAAGCTGGTCACCCTGTCGGGGCAGCCGAAGATCAAGCTGAGTCAAGAGGTGTCGAAAATCACGATACCGGGTCGAAAGAAGTGTTATCGCTTATTTGGCAAAAGTGGTTACGCTATACTGGATTTGTTGATATTGGAAGATGAGCCTGAGCCAAAAGCGAATCAGCAGATTCTTTGTCGTCATCCTTTCCAGGTTAGTGTTGAGTATTTTCCTACTTCTCTACTAGTTTCTACAAGTTAATGGCACAGTTCACAATAAAAATGGTTTCTAAGATTTTCCTATGAATTATCTTTCCCCCTATACCGTACCTGTCGATAGAATGGTGAAAAACGTCCTGTAGAGGGCACAATGGGGAACCAGGGAATGAGTTCCAACGGCTTTGTACATAGAGGATGCACCATTCATAAGGAAACCAATGTAGAAAGTTCAAACAAGTTGTCATGACCCATAGTGACAGTGAAAGGCAATTCTGACCATTATGGTTGATGCAGTCAGCTCTTTGCGCGATGAAGTTAAATCTCGTCCAGGAACCCTTTATATGTTGTTCCTGTCACGGTGATCTCGTACAACCTTCACTTCCACCACTTTTAAAAACTTGGAGTAGGCGGATCTTCTCGATTTATTCGCCACTGATCTACTCCTGTACATCAACACCCGCTTTTCAACCTAAAATGGATACGTTATCGTGAAGTGTGTCGTTAATCTCTCTGCGGTTTTGAATGGCTGATATTCAAGAACAATGTTAATTTCAAAATGGCATTTGTAGTGTGCATTCAGGAATCAAAAAGAGCTCTAGTTGTGGCCAGTCGTGTGGAACCTCTGCACGAAGTGTTTTGGTCCGATGGAAGGATCGTTAAGGACCTGCCTGACTTGAAAGCCATTAAGGCTGGTTTATGTTGTTTTACGAGATTTGGTTTTTCTCCTTGTTTCCTCTGGCTGCCCTTTCAATATCAATTACAGAATCATGTAAATAACTCACTGAATACTTTGCGGAAGGACCACCGACGTTACCTCAATCCAACCCCGTACAAGGTCCGATATTTTTGAGTTTCAGTCTCGCGAAGTAATGAGTAGCAAACCATTTTCAGGTGTCGGTTTCGGAGAAGTTATATGACTTTCTACATTCACTATGGTTGCAGAATGCACCCATTGGCCAGCTCGAGTAGTTCGCTTACTTTCTCAGTTCTCTCTGGAATCTCCCCATAGCTAGTTGCCAGGAATATGCAGGATTTCTTTTATTACCCAGGAAACTCGAGATAGTCATTTTGAAATCTCTTCTCTCAGAGTTCGTAATTTTGAATTTTTGTAGAGCTAGTCTTTAGTGCACTAAATATATAGCTAGGTTTTAACCCCATGACTTCGTGTGGGATCAAATTTTGGCGTAGTTGATCAAAACAAACATCAATTCATGCGCAGTTCTAGTCGTGCACGATTATTGGCATTCGCAGACAATCATTACGCATTTATCAGAGATGGTTTCTCTCACCCTCACTTCTTCTATTTTCACAGAATTTCTAACCTTTCCAGCTCTTTTTTTTTGTTCCACTCATGATTTTAGTTTACAGCACTACTAAATTTGACTGTTTTACCAAAGGAGAATCTCCACCGTGACCATTACTAAGTTTCTCGTCAATTGTAAAGTTTAATCCCCCGCGCTGCTGCGTTGCTGATATGTTGCTGCAGCCGCCGAACGTGCTAGACTTACCTCTACCATTGTATGTTTATAATGCAAATTGTATAGCTTTGTATTCGACCGGTTGTTGCCCGATCTTTGCCATTTCCCGCATTTCATTAAACCCGTGTCGCTTTTCTCCCCTACCGGTTTGTTTTATTTTACTGTATCACCGACTAGATTTTCTTCAAATGAATACTTGCCAGATTTGTTACGTTTTCAGAAAAACTCACGATGGCTGAAGAGAGGCTTGGTAAGTTTATAAAACGCACTTTTTTGATCGCTCACATCAATGAACAAACAACTGCACATCTTCGTCAAAATAGCAAAGCTATGAATCAGCATAATAGCAACATGAAAGCTGTTAAGTATTATACTATAAAAAAGGGTTTGCCACTTTGAATATAAGAAGAAATATATTAACAAGACTGAGTACAATATCTATCTATGGGCAGCTGGCTTATGGGTAAAGCACGTATCAATTACTGATATTTCATTCAGAATATAGAATCAACTTTGAAGGATTTGGAAAGTTTCAGAAAGGGTGTGGGCACCCCCCACCCCCATCTAAGCGCTAGAGCGCCGAAAAGTAGCTAGTTATCTTGGCGTGCCTTCATGGTCTCTGGCTCTCCTCGCAGAAATATTATGCTAGCAGGCTATCGTTCACACTTCCGAAAAGGACCGAATCAGTGTTCGATCGGATGTTCAATTCGTCCTTCATCTAAGTTTTTTACATTAGGTAATCATATCATCCACCGCGATGCGCCTCCCATCCCTAAGGCTCAATTGAAAAACTACATTCCCTCCGCTATGAAACGTTCTCAAGAGCTAGTACAGGTCCGCAAAAATGACTGCCCACCTACTCTGCGATTGGACATTGAGTACAGCATAGTATACGCGTTGTTGGAATTGCGGTAAAACAAAACATGGATGATGGTTATAAATCATGATGGTCACGTTTATTAAGTAAGATGAGGCTACTGGATGATTAGCCTGTCAAACTGCATACACCGCTAATTTTCATTCTGCCTAAAATAGTCAGGCTTCATTGCCTTCCAAAAAATAGGGGTATTTTAGGCTTAAGCTGCTTTTTTGAATGAGACAAGACGAAACCTGAGCTCTGTGGGGGACACTGCACCGGAAGAAATATCTTTTCTATGTGCATGCCCCGCCCTCGGGGGAGGAGTCCAGCCGTGCCACATAATGTAATTCTATCAATCTGAACGCCCTGGGCCCAAATTTAGGTGTCCACGAACGTATCGCTCCTAGAGGGTGGAGCCTAATCTTGAGAGCCATCAACAGTGTTCCTATAGTGCCGCCCGTACTTCTACCAAATTGAACCCTCTAATTCTACGGTAAGAGAGTTATGCAGTCAAACATTTATTTCGCGCACGGGTCTTTCGGGGTCTAGACTGCTACCCGTAGTGTTTCTGTCCTGACTTTTGTATTCCTTCCAAATTTGAACCGTCTAGACCCACTAGAACAGGAGTAACGAGTTTCCGGTCAAACAAACGCACAAACAATACACACACAAACACACACAAACCCCCACAAACACATGTGCACATAATCTACCAACAGCCACCGCCCCGTGTCCTTGCCCGAGGTCCTTTTCGACGCGTCGTATATGTGACGGTTTTATGTCGTAGGTTTGAAATTTACAAATAGGGTTATGCCATGATTGGGAAATGTTGCTTGTCAGTATTACCTTTCAATTGCCAGTTCGCAGTTTTTCTGGAAGCTAATCGCGTTTTTTTAAAGGCACTGTTCACGAAAAAGTGGTTTCGGAGATTTGCACATGGTTTGAATTCGAAGCCCCCTGTGATACCATTTGTGCAGGAATGAGGTAGGAAAACGGCTCGATAGGGCACAATAAGGGCAGGAGCAGTGGGGGATGGGAGGCCTCCGCCCCTCGCTAAGCTAGCTACGAGATCTAATTGTCCTTCACCACATTCGCACTGGAGCGAAGTTGGTGAAAAGTNTTTTTTTTTGACCCTTTGTAATTCTTATATCGTTTTTTGCGCTTTTTTCGTTGTTATCGCTTTATTCTAGGGTAGTTCTATCAATTCCCTTCAAAAAAGGGTACCCTAACTTTTTTGTGAACGGTGCCTTCAAAGAGTGCTGAACTAATAAGGATCTAATAAACGGCTCTTTACTTAGGACAATTGAGGATACTCATAAGGGCCAGCGAAAGGCACTGTTTTGACGTTACCTTGTTTTTTTTTTAAATGTAAGATAATTTTTAAATGAAAATAGTATCAAAAAGAGTGCATCCGAATGAATAACCTGGCTATTCAGCAATTTTGTCCGTATGGGACAAGACTGGAATATGTGAGCTGGCGGATGGGCTTCACAGAGCCGGTCTCACCCTCGTGGCTTCCGGAGGTACAGCTGCAGCTTTACGAGAACATGGATTGCCTGTGAAGTGAGTTTTTTGATCATCGCCCTATAGACCTTTCTTCCTTTTTGTAGGGTTCTTAGAAGCGTCACGAAGGGATTCAATGACAATTCAAAGGTTACCTGTTTCTTCATTTGAAAGTTCACCCATCGTTTTTTTGAAATTGGAGCTCAGAATCTTCTAATACCAACTGTTTTTTTGGGGCCATTTTCTGTAGTTCAAACAACTATGTGGGAAACGGCAAGGTTTCATCGACCCTTTTGTTAGCTGGTGTTGAAGGAAGTGGTTGTCTCAGAGACGTTTCCGAAATCACCCATTTCAACGAAATGCTCGGTGGACGAGTGAAAACGTTGCATCCAGCCGTTCATGGAGGAATTCTGGCCAGGGATACAGCAGAGGATCGTCACGAAATGGAGGTAAGCACTTAATGCTTTTTTTCTGTCACGTGAATACGGTGAAACAGTTAGAATGGATTATGACGTCGTTACTTTTTGAGAGCTCGCAGAAATTTGAGCGAATGTTCACCGCTCCCTTGCAGAACACACATTCTTCTGCTATTTTCTCCTTCGCTCTGAGTATTTAGCCAGCATACCTCCTTGTTTTGTCTCCTCTTCCTTTTCGGAGCCTTCACTGTGGAGGTGGCAGTCTAGGTACAGTCTGTCAATTAGAGGTTCAATCTTGAGGAATTTGGTGACCATTTCCTTCGAAATCGGGTGTTGGTCAAGTTCCTAAACTCTGTTCACATTCCAGTTCATTTCTCAATAATCATCCGTTCGGTTATTTTCCTTATGACGCGCTTATTGATGAAACTGAAAGCATGCATACTAGATTGTACTGTTTCTTTGTATTTTTTGTATTCGAATATGGTTTTGTAGTATTGTTAAGTATTGCTCCGAAGGCTCGCGCTTCTTTTTGAATCGGAGGCAATAGCAAAGCTGAGTCACATACTCATCGCCGGGGAGACGGGTAGTAGGATCGGTTTTGTGTAGTCGATTCGTCGCGCGCGGCTGTCGCGGACCATTCGCCTCGTTATTACAGTTCTAGCGTTCTTCATACAGCTCAAACGATATGCGATTATTATTGTTGGCGCGATTTTAATGTTAGTTATTCTGTTCCTGTATTTCTTACTTAGCGCTACATTCTGCTGCACTCCTTCGCGCGCGGCGTCTCTCTCACCGCGACGCGACCGTTTCGATCCCACTGCGCTACACGCGTCGCTCGGCAACTTCAAAATTTCGCTCAGGTCGACCCCCGCGGAGTCGAGGTTGTCGGACGCCACAGCGTGCTCAAGTAGCGCATCACCTGCAGGTGAGCAAAATCATCAACGTGCAATGTCTCTGTGAGCGTATGGGTACATACGTGCGTGCGAGGATGCGCGCGGCAAATTGTGCGGCGAAGTTCGTGGCGATTCGAACAACTCTGGCGCCTATCCTACTAACCTATTCTACTTCAAATTTGGATCCCAATGATAGGCGCTATGGTCGTTCAAACCGCCACGCACTTCGCCGCGCAATGTGCCGCGCGCATCCTCGGACGCACGTAAGTTCCGTCCCTCCTCTGTGAAATGGGCAACCGCTGCATTAGTGCCGCAGTTACTACCACTATAGATGGTGCTCGCGACGCTAATGGCTCACAGTCGTACGTGGTAGAACTACTCGCCAGTTCCTTGTCCTGCGTGCGATGATCGAACATTAGCCGAAAAAAACTTTATTCAGCACAGTTTGGCGATACGACGGTGATACGGGAAGAGTTTCGATGGTAGGTCCTTGAAGAGGACCCCGCTCTCGTCGCACCAAAGCTTGTAAAGCATTGCTCATATAACGTTCACATACATAGCTGCCGCGAAGAATCTTATCCATTTAAAATATCTTTCTCTGTTCGCAAATCTACCATAGTCTAACATTACGCTGAACAACGATATTAGATTTAGTCGACGTTGAGACAGGCTCCCACCACAGTTTTACCTGTGCCGAAGGCCGCTTGTATCGCTGCGATCATCTCTGCAATTACGGCAAGCCGCGCAGCTGTCTTATGCTCATTGGTTCTTCCGCCCAGTCGTTAGACCATAAATGTACCACGTATTCGAAACAACAAAGCAACTGCAATGAGGTTGTCAGCTTCTGCCAGATCTATGGGTACGTCACGTGGTTCTCCATAGACCAATTCCGAGTGAGTAGTGGCGAATAATGTGGGGTTCAAATCCGCAAAAAGCCATACCTCTGAATCACGTCTTTGATACTGTGTTGAGACCAGATGAGGCATCCACGGTGACATTCACAGCTGATTGGTTGGGTAGAATTTTAAAGTCCGTCACCTTCGCTCGTAATATACTACTTGAACCAAGGACGTGCATAGCTACGTGGGGTTGAGCCCTCCGAAGTCATATCGGTGGGGACGATGGTCAACCTCGCGGGGTAGTGGTATGGAAGAGTCGTCGAGGCCGTAACAGAGGCGATCGTCTCCCGCGGAGTTGATCGCTGCCAGGGTAGAGCACGCAGCATTGAACTTCGTCATGCGTAAAAGTGCCTAATCGCGGTTGCTGCCTTAGCCTTCGAAAGAGCCTACGCGATATGCTAACCACGTGTGGTCGCCCCTGTCTTGCACTATCCAAACTAGGAGGACTAACTCTTCATCTAGTTGCTTGGGGAGAAATTGGCAGGTCACCTTCTACAAGGCTGTGCGGGGATCGGCTGAGGCAGATGGATGTAGCGCAGGAGACGCTAGCGTGTCAGCCATCACAATCTCATCCTCCCTTACGTCGTTGATGTTGAAGCCACATCGAGTGGGTAAGGGTGACAGCTTCAGAAGGCGTCTGTGTGATCTCATGCGATAAGACGATGCCATATGCCGTCTCCGGTAACGTCACTGCCAACACGAATAAAGGATATTCCGGAAGGAAAAAATATGTAGAGTTCATATCTGGCAGCGTGGTGCGAGGATATCGGAACGCGAGAGGGTGGCCTCGGCGTCCTGCAGGGTTTGCCGGATGGGTTCAAGGTTGTACACCCATACGAAGTCCTTGAGCGGTTTTCTGGCTTTATTAAAATCGCGCAGTCCTGTCGATGATTGATTGTGAACCTACCACAAAAAAAACATTGGTCTCAGAATGACTCCGGTTCTCCATCCTGAGGATACTAGTTGGTAGAGCACCGGGCAGCATCCATCCCATGTAGTGGGGATGGCGAACTGCGGAAGGTCGTCCATGTTCTGCGATGTTTGGCCAATGTCCCTATCGTGGTTATCTCCTTGTCTCAATGCCGCAATCGTGCTTTCAGATATTGACCGGAAGCTTAACGAACTTTCTGAGAGCTATCGGTCTATGAATGGAATAGGGTCTGGATAAGACTGCCTGTAAACCCCGAAATTGAGGAAATAGTAACCGCCTGAAGTTGGTGCTCATGTTCGGGAAGGTACCTGTGAGTTGCCACCGAAAGCTCATCAGTGAATCTGTTGTGGCTGAAGGAGACCATTCGCCTTGGGCGGGGTGCGGGGGTTGACGTACCGAGCTTAAGGATTGAGACTGTGTAAGTAGTTCACATAATTGCGCAGAAACTGCTCGGCGTCTGGGGGTATGCAGGTCGCTGCGAAGATACGTTGTGTCGTGCTACTGGAGGGCAACTGTGTCTATGATGATGGCGAAATCTTCTAACGGCCGGAATGGATCTGTGGGGTGTGGGATGAGTGACAATCTGGCAGCACCAAAATCATCTTTCAATTGGTGAGAAAGCGCAGACGCAGAAAGCAGATAGGGGTGTGGCATGTCCTGAATAACTGTCAATCCACCTTGCGCCAGGTCTTGCAAACGTAATGGTTCGGGTGTGCTTACAGAGTCGGAACATAAACACTATTTTTCCTCCTTTCATCAATAAGTGCTAATGGATGCATCAGATTCATTGTTAATTCGTTTTTTGTTGGTGTCGTGCACATCCGCAAGCCAGCCGCGAAGGAAAAGCGTCATTTCGCAGATTCTCGACGCTCTCCTCCTTCTTCGTTCTCTTCGTTGTCTTCGTTCCGCAACTCCAACTTTTTGTAAATATCCACCATCACAGTTTTTAGGAAAAATGATCAGAAGAAGTCACTGTTGAGTTTTCTGCACTTCAAAAATGTAATGGTCATCAATTGTTAGGCTAAATCCAAGTTTCTAGTGTAATAAGCAGCTCTCCGGGCATACAATTAGCTCCAACGGACTCTCTAATGACATTATATAGGAGGCTGGTTGAATCGCTACGTCAGACTACACTGTCATTTCTCCGATACCCGATATCGCGGCTCCATGAAGCGGACCCCAGATATTTCAAAATATTTTGTACCTTCTTCCATCGGTGGTAGTGATAACTCTTGTATCCACTCGTTCCAACAGCTCCTTTCTCCTATGACAAACCTTTTTCTCGTATAAGAGGATTATCAGCACCGACGGCGTCCTTTGAATGGAACTAAGTAAAAATTTTGCACGTGGTGATGCACGAAAGGGTGCCTAATCTCGTCGACGGAAATAGCCCTAATTTTTCTAGTCTTGTATGAAAGCAGAGCGTATTCAAGTGATTTGGTACACCCCATAGTATTCCATGTAATCTGACTTAATCAAGTAAACCCTGATCCCAGTTCACTGAATGGTGTGGAGATAAGCTTTGGAGAACTGCCCAAGGCTTATTGCGAACCTTGTTTTTTCACTCCTTTCTCTTTCTATTTTTTTCTCATTCAACGAGTGGAAGTCAAGTACGTCAAGTACTGGAACCTCTCTTCTCTCTACATATCACATAATTCATTGATCAGATAAATTGGAAATACCTATATGTTTCTGTAGCTTTCTTGATTCTCGAGTAATCAGAATCGATACGCTATTGTTATTGGTAGTTGAAGGGTTGAGAAAAGGAAGCAAAGCTCATTAGTGCGTTTATGCTACATTGGAAGCTTCTGTCGATGAACTCAGCAATACTGGAGTTTTCACGAACACGAATTTTATGATTTCACAACTTCCGCTATGATGTTGGGTCGTTCTAAAAGCAGTTACGATTTTGGAGAACGATTCCTTCGAATGCTTGTTACTGAAGTCTTCAAAGAGCTCGAGCACTTTTCACTCGATATATATCACACATATAATTGACATTCTCAAAGAAAAGTTCGAACAAGTTTCATTTTCATGGGTAATTTTAAAAGCTCCCCGAACCTTGAAGGTCATTCGGAGCATTTCCGGCCCATATTGCGATTTTACTTCTGTCTTTGTTAAAAAGCTGCCGGTGGTTTTTCCTTGGGGTGAACCATGCCGCACAAGTTATGGGAGATACACTCGCCACCATGAGATAGCGTCTGCGGTTTGCGCTTCACGCAATGAAGACCGCCCATGTGCGAATCGAATGGTGGCTATTGAAAAATTTGGAATTTATGCAATAATTTTATTCACAGACGATTGTTGTTGATACCGGATAAG